CATATGTATGTATTGCTCGAAAGAGGTCAAACTTCACATGTTACAACTAAATCATCCTTAACTATAAATGTCTATTTAGTTAAATTCATATCAAGGCAAAGAAAATATTGTTTAAGGCTAATGTCCTGCCAAACTCACCTACTGGGAAATGATCTCCTAAAGAACACAATCAGAAATGCTGACAATCAATTTTTCTTAAGAATTTAGTGTAGTGGTGGCTCTATGTGGCATCAGTTTTATTTGTTTTCCTTTAGCTCACTTTCCATTGTATTCTTTTACCTTTTTCTCCACACTTTTTTTTTTTTTAATGTTTTATTTATTTCTAGGAGAGAGAGAGAGAGACAGCGTGAGCAGGGGAGGGTCAGAGAGAGAGAGGGAGTCACAGACTCTGAAACAGGCTCCAGGTTCTGAACTGGCTGTCAGCACAGAGCCCGACACGGGGCTCGAACCCACAAACCGCAAGATCATGACCTAAGCGAAAGTCGGACGCTTAACCGACTAAGCCACCCAGGCGCCCCTCCATACTTTTAAGTTTATCCTATCTAAAATAAAATTGCAACACTTAAGTTGTAAATGATTCTAGCTTTTATCTAGCACTCAGGCAGCTGAAGTCCATCCATTCTAGGCCCAGAAAGAGGCAAGAACCGAGATGTTAGCAATTCTGTGTCCCCTCCTTCCACATCTCAATGGATAGATACGCAGCTATCAGGATAAGCAGTTTTAAAATTCTACCATGTTAGGGGCACCTGGGTGGCTCAGTCGGTTCATGGGTTTGAGCCTCGTGTCGGGCTCTGTACTGACAGCTAGTCAGAGCCTGGAGCCTGTTTCAGATTCTGTATCTCCCTCTCTGACCCTCCCCTGCTCATTCTCTCCCTTCTCTCTCCCTCCCTCTCTCTTTATCTCTCTCTCAGAAATAAATAAAACATTAAAAATAAAATAAAATTCTACCACATAGGACAACAAATTCTGCCATGCAATAGATTAGTCAAGTAAAGAGTACTCATTAGAAAATATTTTCTTGGGGCACCTGAGTGGCTCATTTAGTTGGGTATCCAACTTGATTTCGACTCAGGTCATGATCCCAGGGTCATGAGACTGAGCCCCGTGTCTGGCTCTGTGCTGAGTGTGGAGACTCCTTAATATTCTCCCCCTCTCTTCCCACCTTGGAAAAAAAAAGAAAAAGAAAATATTTCCCTTCCATTTACTGTAACCTTAGTTTTACTGGTAGGGGAAAGTCTTTTAAAAATGTACTGTATGTGATCTTAACTACTTACAATATACTATTTTATAAAAAATAACAATAAATAAAATTAAAAACAGCATATAATTACCCAGGGCAACTCAGCACATCCTAACAAAGTCAGGACGAAAATCTGTGTCTTCTGAACATAAATTCAAGCTCTGTACATGAATTTAAAAAGCACTCTGTCAACTTGACCAAACATGTAGTCTGAACCATTTGGTTGGTCTTCACACTTTAATTCAGTTTTGGTATAGGTGTTCTGTTAGGTCATAAAGATTGTTTTGTCATTTTAAAGGTCTGTTAAATATCATGTGTAAAACTCATCTTTCTTTCTATATTTTACTATATGCTCTTATCTTGAACTTTTCATCCCTTCAGGCTTCTTTAATGTTGAAGATGTTGAAATAAATGACAAGCCTGCCTCCCAAGACCTTAACCCTGAAGAAAAGCTTAGTCTTAATTTGATTTTTCTTTCTGTATTAGGAAGTAACTGTTGCAATCTTTCCACTGCTTACAAGAGATGTAATTGTTCCCTTACCACAACTTTTGACAAAATTGTATGTCCCCACTCTCAGCCTTGAAACACCCTCACGTCTATGGGTCCCCAGAGTTTTTCTGAGATTGAGAGACTGAAACAAAATAGTGAAGGAAGATGTACACCTGAAACGAAGTCTTTAGGTATCATTGGTCCATCTGAAAGAATACGTCATATGACATGACACAAAATATTTTCCATAGATACCGCCCAATTTGATTTCTGCACAACTGGCCCAAAGCCTTTATATAGTTTTGTATTTTTAACTGCAAGGAAAAAAGCTCAATATAAGCAGAACTGCTTCCAAATAGAAAAGCAATAGGTTTCTAATCTCTGATTAATCTAAACATTGTTTTACATCTCTCACTATATTTCATAAAATATTTCAAATACATTATATCATTTAATGCATACAAAACTTTTTGAGGAAAGGAAGACTACTTCACCATGATTAAAGATAAGGACACAAAGAGTCTGAGAGTATTAGTGCCTTGCCTATCCATCAACATTCAGAGTAAAGTATGACCGTCTGGTCATATTTTTACTCACTTTAAAAACTGAAGTTAATCATTGTCCCTTATTTTCTGTGAATCATGTTTTGCTTTTTAATATTTGCAGTAAATCCTCAAGCTTCAAAATATATTCCCTTTATTAAACTAAAGCCTTTTTAAATTCCTCCCATTTTAAACCTCATCTTCCCTGAAAAAGTCTAGTTAAGCAGAATTTTTTGTGTTCAAGCACCAGAAACTATGTGCTGGGCATGATTCATGGTACTGTTAGACAACCGACAATGATAGATTCAACTGATAGACAAGTTTTATTAGTATCACCTGGGAATCTGGAAAAAATAGCACTTTTGCACTTTGGTCTGAACTAGGCAATTAGAACTCTAGGTACAAGCATGTGGATATGTGTTATAAAAGTTCCCAATAATCTGACCAAGAACTAACACTGTAAAAACTAAATAAAAAATAAAATCACAAGAAGAGTTAGAGATTGAATACGCCATGGGAAGACAAAACAGATTTAGATTTGGCTCACAGGATCACCATTAATTATGTGATTTAGGGAGGAATGGTGGGAGATCATGATTAAACACTTTCACGGCACAGTTTAGTGACAGTATACGAGAAATAATGCAGGTAATAAGCCATGCAAAGGACAACTTCCTCCGCAGAAAAGTTAAATAAATTTTGTATCTTTAGTATTTAAACCACAGAAGACATTTTATTAGTTTCCTAGGGTTGGGTATGCTAAACAATAAAAATTTATTTTCTGACAGTTCTGGAGAAGTCTAAGGTCAAGGTGTCAGCAGGTTTTATTTCTTCTGAGACCTATCTCCTTGGCTTGCAGCTGGGTTCCCTCTTGCTGCCTCTTCACAGGGTCTTTCCTCTGCATGGCTCATGTCCCTAGAGTCTCTGTTGTGTCCTAGTTTTCTTTTCTAAGGATGCCAGTCAGATGGATTAGGGCCCGACCCTAACATCCTCATTTCAACTGAATCACCACCGAAAAGGCACTATCTCCAAATACAGTTACATGCTGAGGCAGTAGGTGTTAGAGATTCAACATATGGATTTTGGGAAACAGAATTTAGCCTATAACAGCATTTAATAAATTTTAGTTGTCCTATGTTTTTTCGTATTTTCTAGCCCCTCCTTTACCTAGCTCACTAATTTCACACGGCCCCTGTATCAGTTGTATTTGCTGCCCGGAAGTTATTTTCCTTAGCAAATTTGATAACCTAAAAACTTGGTGAGGATTAGTTTGTGTATTGATAGGTACTGGTGCTTTTAAGCAACATATTTGTATAAGCATGAAGTCAAGAGACTTTGGTATCTTTCCATGACAGTGGATGGGGTGAAGATTTCTGGTACGCAGCTCAACTAAAATTGGAGCTGTTCATAGAAAATTAGATGTTTGATGCTCTTTAAATCTGTCACATGGACAAATGCAAGTTTGAACTATAACTGTGTTTGGACCTAGATAATCTGTGATTTTAGGAGAGCCTGCTTTTTTTACCTTTTCTATATTTTAGGAAATAAAATAAGTACCACTGTAATTGAACATTTTAAAACTATCACCTTTTCCTTCCAGAGAAAATGTTCATGCTTTATGACTCGTGTGTCCTTCTTTACTTCTAGCTTTCAATTTTTTCAAACACCTACGTCTCTTTTTCTTTCTAGTTGTTAACGTTAGTGATGAAAAACAGTTTTTCCTCAATGTATGCTTAATTTCTCCTTAGTGAGAATTCTACCAAAAAAAAAAAAAAAAGAATTCACGGAATATTAATGTGGTATTTCTTTTTGAGTTAGATTCTTTGGGATTGTCCATTTCTTGTGTTAAGAAACAAAATTCAACTGAGTGATTTAAAGATCTAGTTGGCTTTATGCAGGATTCCTGATTTGGGCAGCATCCCATCTAGCAAATAGAATCACCAAGGACCTGTGCAAAATGGAAGGATTTTATAGGCAGAAATGTAGTGGGACAAGAAGGGTTTTAGCAAAAGAAAAAAGACTGTTCAGGCCAGGTCACCTTCCTTTAGGGGGAAGATGGGGACTATGAGAGGAGTCTTAACATGTAGATTACTTCATAGTACTGATCACAAAATCCCTGAATTGATTGGTTTAAAAATCTAATTCTGAGAGAGGCTGAAAGTGAAGTTAGGTTAGATTTTAATAACTTTGGGTGGAATTTAGTAAAAGTGACTTCACTTGGTCTCTGTGGTCATTTTAATGCTTGATAAACTATTATTAAATCTCCCTAACTGGTTCTGCTCCCTAACAGATCCTTTAGTCTTTGTATACCATCTGTAAGACATTTCTAAAACACACTATCTGGAAGAAATCCAATAAAGTAGGGCCTGTATGTCAACTTGATCATTGTTCTTTCGAAATGCCTATGGAAAGGCACTATGGAAAGTGAATGTATTTTTCTTCATTTCTCTCATTGGAAAAATGGGTTACAATAATCTTGTATGAACAGTTTTAAATCTTGTTTCATATTTTCAGTTCAGTAGAGAACTTTTCATTCTATAAATTTTATAAAGGAAATTTTATAAAGGAAAATGGCATTATACTTTCAGGTTTCTTACCAAGGATTAACAGGACTTTTAATAGACAATCTGGGTCTTTTCCAAAACTTTTAAATAGTAAGTGTTAAAGCTAAAATTTCTACCACATGGTCAATTGTTCTTGTTTTGGTCCAATGTGTTGGTATTTTCAGGGATGAAGAACCAGGAGGCCAGCTGGTTACAGATAAGTTCCATATTGACTGGGATTCAGTACTTGTTGACACAGATAATGTAATCACGGCACGGTTTGATGGCAGAGGAAGTGGATTCCAGGGCCTGAAAATTTTGCAGGAGATTCATCGACGGTTAGGGTCAGTGGAAGTAAAGGACCAAATAGCAGCTGTGAAGTAAGTGTGTCCACATTTTCCTACTGTTTTTCCTTTAGTGGTGGAAGCTAGGTATATGATACATTACGCCTGAATCATGTACTTTAGTACAAAGATCTGTACTTTAGTGAATAGACAATTTTCTATGTTACTCGTATAGACTACTGCATTCATTTTTTCAAGTATTTCTCACTCTTAACACAATAATAAAACAATATCATACTTCCTCCTCTTTGGAATTAAAATTCACTTTGATTTATAAAAATGCGAGAGACTTTATTTAAACCACTCTATTGCCCACAACGTCTATTATTTCCCCCAGTTACCTATAATTCTTGAACTTTCACAGACACCATTCCCCCACTGGCATGAGTGACCTAGAAAACTATTAGGTTCTTTAAAACAGCACACAGAAACTGGCTGGGGTATTGTCAAAATGTAGTTCTGTAGGCCTGAAATGCCCCCAATTCGTCATCACCTAGTGTTGCCCAAACAACTGTACCATCACTTTGAGTAGCATGATTTTAGAATATATAATCTTTAAATGTGAATAGAGCTCCAACCACTAAATATTTCTAGTTTGACTTCTGGGTTTTGTGTGCATGTGTGCATATGTTTGGGTGCCAAGAATCAATGTATGTCTAACTCAAGAAAATATAATTGTATATTTTTTCTCATTACAGATTTCTACTGAAACAACCATACATTGACTCCAAAAGATTAAGCATTTTTGGAAAGGTAAAAAGAAATGTTGTGTACATGTGTATAAGCACAAATAGCTACATAGGTGTAGTTTACATTTATAGGTATATACACATGTGTTTCTATATATATTTTATATAATTTCCTCATTTTATATAATCTCTTGGTATGATTCTTTAAAATGTAATATTATAATACTATACACATCCAGTCATTTATTAATCCAGCAACTATTTATAATTTAATTGGTACTGGTATTAGAAGTAGAGCAACAACTGAACAATAATGAAAAAATCTGTTTTCATAAAGCAGATCTTCTAGAAAAAAGAAATTGATAAACACATAAATGAAAAACACGATTTCACATAGCAAGAAGTCTTGTAAGGAAACAACACAAAAAAATAAGTGGACACAAGTGAACTGTAGGAGGGGCCAATGTTATTAGATTAAGTGGTCAAGTAAGGCCCCTTGGATTAAGTGATATTTAAGCTGATACCTAAATAACAAAAGAGCCAGTCCTACAAATCTCTTGGAGGTATGGTGTTCTCTATAGAAGGGTCAAGTACCACAGCTCTAGGGATAACTTACATGGCTCAGAAACTGAATGATGACCTATATGTATAATTATGTCTTTGTGGTGTTTTCTGCATGATATTTAATTCTCAATGCAGTAATTTTTATGTCAGGTCCAACATCATTTTCACAATGTGTATAGAGACTCCATGTAGATACTTACTGGACACCTAGTTTATGCATATCACTAGGCTAGACTCAAATGAAAGGAAGGAGATCTAGTACTATTTTAGTTTAGAGACAAAATTATTGGTGTTCATGGATTTAAACATAAGTTTTATCATAAGTGAACTTAGAGATACAGGACCAGAATAACTGACAATTCTACTGGGCATAAATTTTAGTGGTATTCACTGACAAATAGGTGTATGGAGAAAGCTATTTTATAAATGAGTAAATTGTAAATCAGCACAAACCACCACCACTCTCCCCTGACCTCAGATACCTGCAGTGCATCATGTCTTTGCTTTATTTTATTTTTGCTCTTCAAAATATTCAAGAGTTCAGGGGCAATGCTTCTCTGACAAATACAAATACAGAAATGAAAGCCCATCACTACAAGTATATCACTATATATATGCGTGTGTGTGTCTACTGTAATTACATATTTAATGTAATTAAATATATATACTTAATGTTGATTTTATTTTTGAGAGAGAGAGAGTGCAAGTGAGTGAGGGGCAGAGACGGAGGGAGACAAAGAAGCTGAAGTAGGCTCCAGGCTCCATGCTGTCAGCACAGAGCCCAATGTGGAATTCAAAACCAGGAACCATGAGATCATGACTTGAGCTGAAGTGCGACACTTAACCAACTGAGCTTCCCAGCACTAATAAAAAAAATATAAGCAGAAAAACAAATGGAAATGCCTAAGAAAGTTATCATTCCAAAGAAATGGAGGGGCGCCTGGGTGGCTTAGTCGGTTAAGCGTCCGGCTTTCGCTTAGGTAATGATCTCGCGGTTCATGGGTTCGAGCCCCGCATTGGGCTCTGTGCCGACTGCCAGCTCAGAGCCTGGAGCCTATTTCGGAGTCTGTGTCTCCCTCTCTCTCTGACCCTCCCCTGCTCACGCTGTCTCTCTCTCTCCTAGAAATAAAAAAAAAAAAGAAAAGAAAAAAAAGAAATGGAAATCCTTGACAAATTAACAAGTGCATACAGTGAAATCTTAGCACATGGCTAGAGCATGGATGAACCCTGAGGACACTGCGCTCAGTGAAATGAATCAGAGTGACAAATACTGTGTGATCCCATTTATATAAAATATCCAGAGTAGTCAATTTCATGAAGATGGAGAGTGGAATGGTGGATACCAGGGGTTAGGGGAAGGGAAAAGGAAAGTTTGTTGCTTAATATGTAATAGAATTTCAGATTTGGAAAATGAAAAAGTTCTAGAGATTGGCTTCAAAATAATGTGAATACACTTGATACTACTGAACTGTGCACCTAAAGGTAGTCAAATTGGTAAATGCTACATTATGTGTTTCTTACAGCCCCTCCTTCCCTGCACACATAGTGCGTATAGTTGAGAACACTTTACTTTTTAATGCTCCTGAGACATGTAATAATTTACAAAGGGCTTAGTGCTTATGTATTTCAAGGCTGTACTTACTATACACATACATAAGTATAAAAGATAAAATGAGCTATACACACATTCATTACTATGGAAATTTAAATTCAGAAGGTTGTAAAGTGCTTTATAGAAAAAGTGGAACATAAATTGGATGGTGAAAGTCATTCAGCAAGTAGAGGCCAAGGAGAAAGCTCTTGTGTAAATGTTCAAAGAACACAAAATAATTGACTATAACTAAGGCCCACATAAAGGAATGACAAGTGACAAAAGTGAGAGGAAGTCTGGGCACAGACCTCAGAGAGTCCTTCATATTAACTAGAAAACAGGAAGAAATAAAGCTCTAGGCCTCAGATTTAGAAGTTCAAAATCCTGTATTTATTATTTTATAAGGGCGCTGATAGGCCTCAGAGTAATTGGCAATCTAAATATACAAAAGAGACATAAATATAAACAAAATGGAATTAAGTGGAAAACATATTCCATTTCTAGTTAACCAAATATGCATATCTGTGACTGAAGTATAATTTAGAAGGTGGCTTTCTGACCATATAAAGGAACAGTGTTAGCTTCAAGACTCTTAAGTCTTGTGATTTTTTTCTTGGAGTATACTTGTTTTGTTTCAGTATCAAATAAAACTATCCTAAACTCATATAATTGGTTAGGGAGTAATGATCTTGCTTTTTTAGACTGTAAAAGATATCTGGGGCTGTTTCTTTCTCTGTTGGAAAATTTTAATTAACATTTAAATTTATTTAATCTATACAAGACAATTAAGACTTTTCCATTTCTTCTTGAGTTAGTTTTAGTACTTTAGTACTTTTAAAATAACTGTTTCCATTTCATATAAAGACTAATTTTAAAGCGTAGTATATATTGTCTTATTATATGTTTAATCATTTTACTGTGATGATAACGTCTCATTTGACTGCTAGTTTGGTTTATTAGTCCCCTTCTGCCTTCGCTGGAGCACTGGCTTGTCCTCTGTTCCAGGCACGCTCTAAGTTGCTCTTCTTCTCCCTGCTTGACTCCCTTCCATCTCCCAATCCCGACTCTTTTTTAATAAATTGTATTTGGGCTTAGGTCTTCTCAACTTGTCTTTGTTTTCTATTTCCCTAATTTTCTACCCTTACCATAATTTTTTTCTTCTACTTTTTAAATCCATTTTGTTCTTAAATTATGGAGTTGAATGTCTAACTTAACTAATTTTTTAGCAGTCTTCCTTTCATTTGAGTTATAAAATCCCTTTGCATTATTCCCGCAGGTTCTTCCCACCAGTGCTGATAGGTAGCTATCCCCAGAAGCTAACCTAACATAATAATTTTAATGTTTATTCTATCAAGAAATTATATCTAAATGTGAATGGTAAGGAACCACCTAGAAAAACAATTTCTCACTTATGTTAAAAAAACAAGGAAAGACTAATTACATGAATTGAAAATGGATGGCAAAATTCAAAACCTATAAACATAATACATAGAATGGATATTGCTATGATTACTAGGCTATGTCAATGGGGAATAAAATTAATTCATTCCATAAACATTTATTAAATGTCTACTAAATGCCTACTATGTCTGAATGTGCTGGACATACAACAGTCATAGAAACAAAAAAAAATCAAACAATCTTTCTCAAATTTCTAGTTCAGTAAGGAAAGATAAATACAAGACAACTTAAAAAATAGTACAATATATGAAATGTCAGTTGGTAATGGAACAATTCAGAAAAATAAAGCAGAGAGGCAGATAGGTGGCCCTAGATAAAGATGAGGTAGCAAGTTTCATTCATAACACAGGAAAGATTTCACTAGGAAATCATGTTTGATCTAAGACAGGGAAATGTGAGGACACAAGAAACATGGATATCAGGGGAAGGTAAAAATTATATATATAAAGAAAGAACAAAAGTATAAACATGAATATAGAAACCTGTTAAAACTTTACTTAGGGAGGTAATTATTTATTAAAACTATAAAATATTCTCAATTGAGATAGGTCTTGTTAGTAACAGTGAGTTACTTCTAAGGTTGAAGCTTTTAATATATACAATATGAAGGAAACAAAGCAGAATTTTAAGAATTGTGATCATATTTATGTGATCATATGAAACAAATTAAGATTTAATGCAAAATAAAACAATGCAATAAACTGTGTTACTCCTAACATGCACAGTACTTTTATTTCAAATTAACTCAATGTGTACTATAAGTGATAGGAGGTTTACAAAGAATCACAAATCTAAGGATAAGAAATATCTTTTCAGTTCTATCAGTTTTATCTTTTTGACTATTCATGAATTCTCTCAGAGTACTCAAAAAAATAATTTAATGATTGTCTTAAAACACAAGGCACATGAAAATGTTAGTCTTAAAAAATAGAAGTTACTCTGTTGAAATAAATCAAATTAAACAGTATTTTGGATTAGATTTTTGAATGCTATAGAGAGAATGTTATTCAACAGCTTTCACTATTAAGTCATAAAGAGTATTTAACTTCATTAATCTTGAATTCTCATATAATATGTGGTAAAATGTAACTCTTTGGGCAGCAGCAAGGATTTACAGCCCCAGTTTTACTTTAGAACCACATGGAAAACCCTACAGCCCATTCTCTACAGATTGAATTGTTTTTGGGAACATTGAGATATATATATATACATTTAAATCTCCACTGGTCTAGGGAATGCTGATTGAAGTCAGGGAGATGTTTGGGCAGGTGTATTTATTATTATACTGTAAGAACTTATTATTTCAAAATGTGGAACAGCCTAGGCATCCCCTGGGATTTACTGAATTAGAACAAGCATTTTAACAAGATCTCCAATTGATTTGAATGAACCTTCAAATTGAAAAGCATTGCTCTAGGATCTGCCCCTTCTTTGGAAGACACTATTGTATTTAGTTCCTGGAGAGAATCAGACAGATTTATATGAAATGGGAACAACAAGATACCAATTTATTAATTTATGTGATTAAAGTGTGATGCACAGTTGTTCTGTGGATTGAAATATTCACCTATTCTCTCAAAGTAGTCACGTTATATAAACAACCAAATTATAACCAATTAAAGGTTTTCTCTAATTCCACTATGGAATTAGAACCATAAACATTATCAACTGAGGTGTGTATCAACTAAGATGCATTTTTCACCATGGAAACCATGAAACAGCTGCCCCATGGGACATACCTGGAACCTCTGGGCTGCAACACATTGGTCTTATTTCCATGACCAAGAACAAGGAACAATACTCTGGAAAAGCTCCCTTTGAGGACAGAACTTTTAGCGGCCTATAGACTTTTGCTCTTTAATAGTTACTTACTTGCTTTGCAGAACTCTTCCCTTTAGATTTCTGAAGGGGAGAATATGCCATCCCAGAAGATGCCTCATTGGCATAAGGATTATTTTGATCTGATTATTTTAAAAAACAGCAGACACAGGAGCAGCTTTGGAAACAGAGGTCTTTTGTAAGAGACATTTGCATTTATAAAGGAAATCTCCATTTGTGTCTCCCTCCCTGTACCAGGATGAGAAGATTGACTCTAAATCATAAGAAACCCTATTATTCACAGAGAAGGCACTGACTCCAAATCAGACTTAAAACCGCCTAACCAACCTTATCCTTGTTTATAGTTCTTTTCCTGGTAACCTCCCATAATAGCTCCCTCCAACATCTTTTTCTGTTTTAATGTTTATTTATTTATTTTAAGAGAGAGAATGTGCATGAGTTGAGGAGGGGAAGAGAGAGAGAGAGAGAGAGAGAGAGAATGTCAGGCAGGCTGTGTCAGTCTAGAGCCTATTGAGAGGCTCAGTCTCAGGAACCGAACCATGAGATCATGACCTGAGCCAAAATCAACAGTCCTGCACTTAATTGACTGAGCCACCCAGGTGCCCCACGCCCAATATCTTTCGTTTGTCTTTGGCTAAAGGTGGTATTTAAGATGGTGGCTTGGGCCATTTTTAAGGAGTTATTCAGTTTCACTGGGCATCTCCTAGGTGTTCATGAGGTATGCATGTTAATAATTTTTTTTTTTTTTGAGAGATAGAGAAGGAAAGCAGGCCCAGAAGTAGAGAAAAGGCAGAAGGAGAGAGAGAGAGAATCCCAAAACCCATGCAGGCTCTATGTCCAATGGGGAGCCCACATAGGGCTCAATTCACGACTGTGAGATCATGACCCAGGCCGAAATCAAAAAATACATTCAACAGACTGAACCACAGAGGTATCCCAAACTTCTTTTTCCTCTAGATAATCTTTTATTACAAGGCATCTCAGTGAAGAACTCAAAAGGATAGAGGGAAATTGTTCTTCCTTTCCACTTCTTTCTTTATATGTGTTAACACTTTTAAGCCTATTTTGAATTTTGCTGACTTAAGGAGATTTTTATATCTTACAAAAAGAAGAAGTAAAGACACTCTAATGGCTTATGGCTATAAAAGATAATTTTACATCCCTCAATTTCCAATTGTTGGAGAAGTTTTGCTCAAGCTTCTGGGTACTAGCTACATAATCCAGGACAAAATGGACATATGTAGAGAAGGAAAAATAATTTTCCCACTACCCTTCTTGGCTCTTGCCTGAGACCCCTGTAATAAACAATCTACAAGAGAAAAACAACAGAAGTTTGCTGACATGTCCACCTCACACATGTATATGTGGGACATACCCAGGGAGAGGTGAGTAACGCTCTGCGGTGAGTTTAGAATTCAGGCTTACATACCATCTTAATAGGGGACGGGAAGGGGAGTGGGGCATGGGCCTTTTAGGAGAGTGAAGATTCATTAGGAAAGATGAATGGGCCCCTAGAAGAATAGATGGGAAGTGTGATACTTCGTGACAATCTCTCCAGGTATGTTGTGGACTTCTAGTGACAAGAGTCAACCTTTCCTAGTTGATGAAACTCCCAAGAAGGGGATGTATGACAACTGAGTTCCTTTTGGAGGATCTGTCTTTAGTCAGATAACGGGAGTTCAGAGAAAGCCTTTCCCTGGATTTGTTATTTTCCAAGTGCCTGCAGCTGAAAATAATCAATAGGCCTAAGTGGCATACTTCGGGGTGGCATCTTCTGCTACCCTTTGTTCTCTCAGATACTTCAGTAACCTCTGACTGCATGTGGGACTTTGATGTCAATCATCCCAATTTTTAAATAATGGTCTAAGGAAGCATAAATGAAATTCTGTATTTCTCATCAAGACTTTAATGAAAATAACAGATTACTATAGCATTGGACAACACTCATATCATTTGGTAATCTTTAAAAGTAGACCTCATCATGCATCAATTACATCAGAATTTCTGAGGCTAAGGCCTGGTTATTCATCGTTTTAAAATACCTTCTAGGATAATCTGATGTCCAGCAAGATGAAGAACACTGCCCAGAGTACAACTGAAAATTAATTTATAAAATAAATCTATAACTCAGTAGGTCATTCCCTTAGCCCAAATCTATTAATTTGTTAAAATCTCTTCTGAAATTTTCCTGGACAGATCTTGGGCTACAAAATAAAACTGGACATACTGAATTTTTTAAAGAACTTATAAATAACTTAGTTCAAAAGTCTTGCAAGAGGACATTTAAAAATTAAATTTGAATAATCCAACTCATAACTAGCAATTTTATCAAACTCATTTCCTTCAAACATTGAGTTGTGTGGAACTGAAAGTAGAATCTGTATTTGTGATAATAGATTATAAGTATTTACTTCTCCTTTCCTAATTCTACATAACCATTATCACGTTTAAATACTTCACTAAATATATGTATGTAATTTGCTGAAAAGTGACTTATGAATTAATAAGTCCTGTATTTCCCAAACTCTGAATTGTTTGGAGTTGTTCTCAGATATACTACATGAAATCAAAGAGCAAACATTGGACACTGGTAATATATAATTAATTTTATATTTTACCTAACATTATTAAAATAGCTGGTTATAGAAAAATGTAAATTTTTTTCAAATTTTTAATTTGTACAAAGTGTATCTTAGTGCATTCTTTCCTCAAGTCTGAGACATTTATAAGACATCCTGTTATGCATATTATGAAATAGTCCAAAGCTAAAGTTATCTCCAGGGCTAATTGATGTACACACACACACACACACACACACACACACGTGTGCATGCACACACACATACATACACAAATTATTGTTATTTTTTAATTTTGCCAGGGGTATGGTGGCTATATTGCATCAATGATCTTAAAATCAGATGAAAAGCTTTTTAAATGTGGATCAGTGATTGCACCCATCACAGACTTGAAGTTGTATGGTGAGTATTTCCTACAGATTGACTTAATATAATGTACTGACTTGAAAGAAAGAAGAAAGAAAGAAAGGAAGGAAGGAAGGAAGGAAGGAAGGAAGGAAGGAAGGAAGGAAGGAAGGAAGGAAGGAAAGGAAGGAAGGAAAGGAAGGAAAGGAAGGAAAGGAAGGAAAGGAAGGAAAGAAAGGAAGAAAGAAAGAAAATCCCAATACAGAAGAGCTCAGTTGAGCTCACTTATTGTGTGCTATCAGAGATGTTTTCAGCTCACTGATTCAATTTTTCTGGAGCTTGTGAAATGCAGAAATTAAGTAATGAAATATGCTAGTCAAATGCTTTTTAAGTTCTTAAATTTCTGTTTTATTGGGTCACAGCCTCAGCATTCTCTGAAAGATATCTTGGTACACCATCTAGGGAAGAAAGCACATACCAGGTAACAAATTTTAAAATAATGAAGAAAGAAGAGTATATTTGTTCTAAAACTTTGGTCAAATTGCAATTATAGGTAGATCTATATAGAGATATTTGTGCTTTCCTTTATAGGCATCCAGTGTGCTACATAATATTCATGGCTTAAAAGAAGAAAATATATTAATAATTCATGGGACTGCTGACAGTAAGTTTTGTATTTGCTGATACTGTTTGATGGTGTCTGACCTTGAACAAAGGGGTACATCTAAGAACTTGCTTGCAAAGGACCCTGTAAACCTTCTGAAGAAGGTAGCAGAGGATAGTGGCACAAAGAAGTTGATGTATGATACGGAGTAGGAAGAAGGCAGTCCGGACCAAGAGGAAAGGAAGTTGTGAGCGTCCATGACAATGCCATCCAATAATACTTTCTGGGATGACCGAAATGTTCTGTACTTGTGCTGTGGAACACTATAGCCACCACCACATATGGCTCTTGAGTACTTGAAATGTGTTTAATATGATTAGGAACTGAATTTTAAATTTTTTAATTATAATTAATTAAATTTTTAAGAACCACATATGGCTAGTGACTGCCACTGTGGTGTTACTCAGCACACTTCAAATGGAAACTAGCCGAGAAAGCAGCAGGATAGAAAAAAGATGTCAGCACGGAGATAAAATTCTGATGAGATCACTCAAAGTTAACACAAAACTTTTAAAGAGTCCTTTTATATCACTTCTCCTTTTTTCATCACTTTAAACACTAGAAATGGAGGTGATTGATATTACTAGTAATAAATATAATTTTATATTCACTTTGAAGTATTTAGGGTTCAAAGAATTTATATATATATATATTTTAGAATTTTAAAATTTTATAAATTTTAGAATTTTATTTGATACCTTACAATAGAGAGCTGAGTATTTATGGCCCCATTCACAGATGAGAAAAATCAATTTCAAGGAGGAAACTGATTTGATAAAGGCTATCTGGCTAGTGAGCAGAGAGTCAAAACCTTAAATCAGTATTTCCTAACATCCGAACTTGATTTTCTTGGTCTACCCTGCCCTGACTCTGTAAGTTTTATCCCAATTTATGGAGAATATCCCTAAAAAGGCCTTATAGCAATGATTATATGAGTTCTTTACCTTAACTTAAAGCATGCTAGGTCAGGATTAGAGTTTAGATAACACTGATGTACACACACACACACACACACACACACACAATACAACATATAGTATATATGTTGTATATATAGTGTATACATACACCATATATAGTGTATTATTCACTACATGTATTTATATATAGTGTGTATACTTGAATAAGTAGGTAAATGGGGTAGAAGAAGCAAATCACTGTTAGGTAGAATTCCAAATTTATGTAGGTATACTCCCTCAAGGAAGCAAAGCTTAACTCTCCTCCCTTACCCCTTAAGAATGGGTTGTACTTAGGAATTTGCTTCTACAGAGTACTGTATGGAAAAGGGGAGAAAGAATAACTTTACAGTGGAGAAACTCAATAAATACCATCTGAGCCAGGTGATCAAGGTTTACATCAACGGTGACATATTGACGGTATGCACCTTTGATATCACTTCATGAGAATGGCACTCTCTCTCTATGGTCTTGTCCCAAAAACCCATTACTTCAGTCTACCCATGAGAAAAACATTAGACAAACACAAATGAAGAACATTCTGCCCAATACCTGACCCATACTCCTCAGAATTGTCAAGGTCATCAAAAACAAATCTGATCATTTCTAGTAGATCAGAAGAGGTTACTGAGTCATGATCTTCAAATGTTTCTTAATTATAATAAATGGACCATAATATGAGATGTGAACAATGGGGGATTTGGGTAAGAAGCATACATAGATTCTCTGTATTGTCTTTGCAACTTTTCTGAAAATTTACAACAATTTTAAAATTAAAAAAATACTTAGATGATATCATACCTGTGTTTGGGTAAATATATGAAAAAGAGGATAAACATTTTGACAGACTTTAGAATTTTGTTCTAAGGTATTAAGATCTTACATGTATATTAATAGTGGTAACAAAAAGTAGAAATCAAGTACTGAGTATATTTCAGAAAATGGGACCAAAGCTTTTAAGATTACACCTTCTGATTTTCACAAAAATGTTGCACAACAGGTATTATTACTCTTACTTAACTGATTGGGGAAGTAAAGATCAACAGAATTTATACAACTTGCCAAATATCACACAACTACTAACTCATAGAAAGAGGGTATGAATCTGTCATGAAGACTCTTTTTCATTGTGCTCTGAAGATTTGATTGTGAGATTTAATCCTCTTGGGGGTTAAATTATTTTATGTCTGGTCATTACCCTAGAAGAGATTAGTGCTATTCAAATTTCTCTGTCAATATATTGTAGCTGTTAAAGTAAATCATGTTCTTCCTGTCTGACTTAGTCATGGATCTAGTTCTTCACCCCACTGAAGAAGACGTTCAGTACCAGCCACTTCAAAGGAAAAGCACCTCTGTGTTTGCACACATTAAAGACATACACACACACACACACACCACCTACACATACGTCATAGGGGCCTGGTGGATTATAAGTGCTCAATGACATTATAATAGTACTATTATTAACATTATCCTCCAAAAACTATCAACAAACTAATTCACTAAGACAATTAGACCCTTAATACTCCTGTTTTTGGATGGGGGCCACTGATTAATAACAACAGGATTCACACCAGAAATTAAACAAACAAACAAAAAATCCAACTGGAAGATATATTTGTACATTTATCTTCTCAGCTGATCCATACAGAGAATGGCAGAGTCTTTTTCAAATGTTTTTTCCGATAATGAACAATTGAGCTCTGTAAGGAATCATTTAACCTCAATCATTGTCCCCACTTCTCAGCATTTCTCATAACCTATATTTACAGGGCAATTTTCAAACTTATGTAGAAGTAACATGGTAATACTCTTCATTAAGTACAAAATGAAGAAGTTAAAAAAGGTCTTGGGTAGATTTTAAAAAGATTTAAATGATCTTTTGGAATCTTTTGTTGACTGTTATATAGGATTAAGCAGTATCGTGGAATTAGAACAATGAAGAAGGTTAAACTACTTAAGTCTGACCTAGTTTGATAAAGAGACTTTAAAAATGTTAGCTTAAAAGTTATTTACAGAAATTTAAAGATGCACAAAGTATAGGAATAAACAGCCAGGCAGCATTTGAGCAAAGTGCTCAAAGAGGTTTGAGCCATTCATCCAAATCTTCATAGCTAGTTAGGGCAATTTACACAGCTCCAGTCCACTGCACTGTGTATTTCAGAGTTTGGGACTCAGGTTCAGGTAGAGACGGAAGCCAAAAGGAAACAGGAAAAACCAGTATGGTCCCCACTAAATATTGAGTCCTTCAATAATGAGCTATAAAGTCTAATTTCTTAACATGGAATAGTTTACTCCAATTTAAAATAAACAAAACGTATCCAAGACTGGGCCGCAGCGATCCTCAAAAAGGAATGGAAAGATGGTTTACTTTAATACCATACAGATAGACATTCAGTGTGTTAAAATAGTTATAATGATATAACATATTTGAGCAATTAGAAATAAATAAATGATAAAGTAAATTTAAATACCTTCCTTTACAATAAGTAGAGCTGTAGCAGCTCCTGTTTCAATCTACATTTTTTGGTTATGTATAGTATATTTCTTAATAAACCTCAAAGTTTAATCAACCTTGTATCTTACTGGCTTTCCAGTTAATACCAGGTATCAGTCTTTTAAATGTGCAATGTATGCAAAGTAAAATCTCTTTAAAAAATGATTTAAAAAGTTCTGATCCTAACAAGTGTATTTATATTGAATAATTTAATTTCTTACAGCAAAAGTCCATTTCCAGCATTCAGCAGAATTAATCAAACACTTAATAAAAGCTGGAGTGAATTATACCATGCAGGTAAGCCACTTTTTCCCAAGCCTGTTTCCCTATGTTGGTTTTTTAGTTATGGGAACAGAACACAGCTTCTGTACAACTCCATCTCCCAGGCTATTATTTTTAATTATATTTTTTTGCATACCAAAAATTGTGGATTTTCCCCCATAATTATGGTGAAAGGTAGATCAGCTCAGACTTTATAATTGCATAAACTTTCAAAAGCATCTTTTCCTTCTCAGACTTTTATATCCACCACTAATAATGAACTGCTTTAAAAGTTTAATGTTCTATTTCCTTTCTAGTCCCTGTATCTTGTCCGTTATTGCACGTACATTCAACCACATACAGTAAATAGTACCGAAGACTGACTTTAGAGTGATCACTGTCGTAGATGGATCAATAAGACAGACTTTCCACCCTTAAGGAACTTTCAGTCTGAGGGAGGAATCACAGAAGGGAGGAAAAATATAATTTTAATTTTTCAGCATTTGAAAGAACCAAAAGTAGTTCAATATTTCTAAAACACGGGTACCGGGGTTGAGATGATGACCAGTGAAGACGTAGAGAAAATAGATGGTAGATCATGACACAAACAGTGTGAAGGGGTAGAAGGCCTTATTCATACCAGTGAGGCACCATGTACCAAACTTAGATACTCACTTCATTAGGACATATACTAAAACTGGAACAATACAGAGAAGATTGGGGCCCCTGTACAAGGATGACACACAAATTCGTGAAGTGTTCCATATCTTTTGTACGTAACTGTTGATTTACTGTGTTATGCACCTGAAACCAATATAACACTGTAAGCTAACTGGCTGGAATTAAAATTAAAACTTGAAAATATTAAAGTAAAAAATAAATAAAAGTGAAGTCATATTAGTTAATAGTAAAAATAACAAAACGTTTAAAAAATAGCTTTACAACCAGGAATTGACAAAACTTTGTATTTTTAATTTTGGAAAAATTATGGAGGTCCTTTATATTGGTAGGGTCATTGTCAAAGTAAAATTTGTACCCGACAAGATTAAACAGACAAGAAAGATTTAAAACTATTGCAAAGGGGGAGAGAAATTAAACTCTACTGAAATGCAGGGTTGGAGAGGGTTTAATAACTGAGGTGGAGGGAATTATGGGCCACCTGTGTGTGGTAACGCACCTTACCAAAAGGAAAAGTAAGCCTTCTTTTTATGACTGGAGGTAGTTTTACAACTTGGAGCAAGTGCTCTACCCTCCCACGGAGAGAGAGCTGCTATCCTCTTCAATATCTACATTTCAGAGAAATGGCTTTTAGGTCCTTGAGAAGGACATTTCCTAAACTGTAAAAGTGGCACTACCAGAAGAAGATATACAGAAGAAGGGACAGAGAATTTACAAAATTGCAAATTTTCTATAGTGAATGCTCTTAAGAAAAGAAAGGTCAGGGCCCTATAGTCAGGAAAAAAAGGGAAGAAATGTTTTAAAATGTAGTTGAGCTGAGGGGAATGTTAGTGCTGTCTTAGCCAACATAAACACAGAGGAGAGCTCTACTCTTTTTGACCAATGGATTTTAATTTAAATACAGAGAAAATTGTATGGTCTCAGTTATGTGATTATAGTTAAAAAGAAAGAAACGGTTAGCACAAAGAACTCAGAGTTAAATTAGGTTAGATTTTGGTCAGATAGTACTTTCCAAAGTTTCCTTGCCATTGGGCTAAAGGAATGAATTCTGAGGGGCAATATCTATTTGGTGACTTTAAATCTCTTTCTCCCTCAATATTTTAGATCTACCCAGATGAAGGTCATAACGTGTCTGAGAAGAGCAAGTATCATCTCTACAGCACAATCCTCAGATTCTTCAGTGATTGTTTAAAGGAAGAAATACCCGTGTTACCACAGGAACCAGAAGAAGATGAATAGTGGACCCTATTTATAGAGAACTGAAGGGGATATTGAGGCTCAATGGAACCGAACCGACAGACTGTAATATTGTACATGCTCCAGAAATTCAAGGGCAGCTTGAGGAGATGACACTGGAACAGCACACTCAGAGACAATGAACTAGAATTTGAAAACAGATCTCCAAGTCTACTGTGTTGCTAAGCGTGCAGAACCTGTTTCTTTGTGTAAGGAAGGTCAAAGGGTTGGTTTCCTGGGAGAAATTAGTTTTGCATTCAAGTAGGAGTAGTGCATGTTTTCTTCCGTTATCCCCCTCTTTGTTCTGTAACTAGTTGCTCTCATTTTAATTTCAGTGGCCACCATCATCTTTGCATACGATGCACACTTATCAGCACCACATCCCTGATCTTTGATGGCTGAGCTGCAACCTAACACCTTACTGTATCTTTACAATAAGTGCAATTCCTTCATTGTCTATTATTATGCCTAAGAAGATATTCAGTTAATAAAAAACAGAGTATTTTATGTAATTTCTGTTTATATAAAGACATTCTTAAGTGGGTTAAAGGTCATGTAGAAATACGGATTTCAGCACCTTCCAAAGTTCAGCCAGTTATCAGTAGATACAGTATCTTTAAATCAACACACGAGTGTATGTCTCACAATATATAGACACACGTGTGCATATACAGTCAATAAGTCTATCTTTACATATTATTCATGCTACAAAGGATAAACTTCTGATGAATTAGAAGAGATGCTCTTTTACAGGCTATAATGGATGCTTTGTTTAATGAGCCAAATATGATGAAACATTTTTTCCAATTCAGACTCTAGCTATTGCTTTCCTATAAATGTTTGGGTTGTGTTTGGTATCGTTTTTAGTGGTTACTAGTTTTCTAGTTGCAATTTAATTTTTTGAATATGATACCTTGTCACATGTAAATTAGATACTTAAATATTAAATTATAGTTTCTGATAAAGAAATTTTGTTAACAATGCAATGCCACTGAGTGCTATTTTGCTCTTTGGGTGAAGGCTTCTTTTTTTTTTTTTTTAAACACTTGGTCCTTTTACTTTTCTCTCTCAAAGCAGAATCAATTCTCATTTTCATTGTAAAAGCAAAGAACTGGATTATTTCTTTCACCAGTTCCTATTTAGTATTCTGTGCCTGCCCGCTTCATCCTTCACTGTTTAATTTAAATCCTTCTGGTGAGAATTAGAAATGAAATATTTTTTATTCATTGGCCAAAAAGTTCACAAACAGCTGTGTTTGCTATTTGAGTTGAAGGCACAAATGCATTAATTCCTGTGCTGTACTGACTTGCAGTAGTAAGTAACTGAGAGTGTAAAATAAACCTGCCTATATGAAGTCAAATTTAAGTCATGAGAATATTAAATTTGGTGACTAAAATCACTTTGGTGACGTAAGGGATCTTCCAGATGTCTGAAAGTCTGTAATCACGCTTAGACATTCTAGGCAGTGTATTGTTTTTGTGGTTTCTCTCAAATTCCTCAGGACAGGCTGGATATCAGGACATCAGAACACCAGGAGGAAACTTAAAGATGTCACAGAACTGCTCAGTAACCCTCCTGTTTGTTTGAAGGATCAACTCCAAAACCTGGGTATTTGAAAACGTATAAATTGTTTTTTGGATATCCGACGTTTCTTCTGGATGCTATGTGATTGCGTCTTCACTGCTCTGAATTCAGTTTAAAATATGAAAGGATCACTTTTCTGACAGACCCATTTCAGGTCTTTTTCAAGAATAGTAAACACATTTTTTTTAAAAAAATAAGTTTTAATGTTTAAAAGGAAAGTTTTGCCTATTTTATTAAGATGGAAGTTTCTTTTTAGGCTGATTTGAAGTCCAAGTGAAGCTTTTTAAAATCAATATTTTAAATTTCAACCACTAGAGTTTTTTATGATGCAAATAATTATGTTGTCTGAAAGATGTGGTTTTATTGAATGTCTATTTGAGCAACATTTTAAAAGTATTTACCTTTTACTGTTCATCATTTCTCCTGTTTTATTACTATTATCAATGTTTATCTATTTTTCAATTAATTTAATACAGTTTCTAATGTGAAAGACATTTGTCTGGAACCCACTTTCACCTTCAAGGCTAAATGGACCTCAAATGAAAACATACTGCTTAATAGGAAGGTGGAACATTTTCACCTCCCATGATTCTTTGAGTTTTAATCATTGGGCCACTTTAGAAAAGGGAGTGCTCAACAACACAGACACCAGTTATTAAAGGAATCATGTGACTGAACGTTCTCCTTTATACATTTGCCCTTGATTACAATCCAATTTCAAGTGTATTTCTGCATTTCTATGGGTTTCCTAGAACTCTGGTATCACGCTTTTTAAAGTGTCATTTGCCTCTTCAAGGTAAAAAACTCCAAACTAAAATTTCTATAATAAAACAGGTAAGCAATATCAAATCATTCAAAGAGATAAACACATAACCTTTTGAAACTATTTTAAAAGAGAAAAGTGCTGTTTGTTATTTTTTATGTTAATTGCCTCCATCAAAATCTCTGATTCAACACCTAGAGACTAAGGAACCCAGGGGATCTGTTCAAGTTTCCCTGGGAATGAAAGGAAGATTCTCTTCAAAACGTGGGTCTCCGTTCACCCTGAGAGTGTGTCTTCTGATTGGACACTTAGCATAAGAATCACCTTGGAGTGTCTTGCACATTACAATTGTAGATCAACCAGAAAGAGGTGATGTGAACACCAGTTTTTACCATCCAGGGGATTATTTAAGCCATTGTCCTCAAGTGGTGGGCTTTGTAACAGAAGAACCTGGGACTGAATTGCTCTCAAGCTTCAAAGGTCCTTGAGGGCGTCTGGCTTGCATACAGAGTCACATAGAAAATACCTTGTCGTCCCCCCTCAAATGCTCTAACCACCTTCATATCGTACAGCAGCCAGCAGTGCACATACAAGAGCCCTCCCCCCAGCCTCCGCTGAGTTCTCTTTCACCTTCTGCTCTGGGGATTCTCTGACATCACGTCAGCTCTCTACTGGAACCCACACTCTCATGCACTTACGCACTACAAATCTACACAAGGATGTTCGTGCCTCCACTGAAACCCAGTTAATGGAAGACAGGAGCAGTTGACTCTATGTTCTCTCCTCAGATAGTCTGCATAGTCCTGACAAGCCCCATGGGAGTCAGCTGCATTCCTTTCTATTTCCCACTTCCCCTATTCAGCTTATCTCAGTCCATCACTTGTATCTTCTAGAATCAGTTCTCAAAATACACATGCATCAGGCTCTACTTTGAGGGGAAACCTTTTGGCCCATGAGTGTACCAATGTAAATGCTATATAGGATGAACAAACAGAATGAGAATAAAGAGGTGCTTCTTTTTCAGGTTTGAATAGCTGGTGTTTTTTTTTAATGTTTATTTTTGAGAGACAGAGAGTACAAGCAGGCAAAGAGAGAGGGAGACAGGATCTGAAGGCGGCTCTGTGCTGACAGCAATGACATGGGGCCCAAACTCATAAACCACAAGATCATGACTAGAGCTGAAGTTAGATGCTCAGACGACTGAGCCTCCCAGGGACACCTGGAATAATCTGTCTCTACCTAAAATTTCCCAGATGCTTACTAATTCCAAGTATCTACTAAGTGTTCTACATTCATTATCAAATTAAACTTCTCAATGTGTCCTCAAGTATGTAAAATGATTCCCATTTTACAGATAAGAAATGGGAGTCTCAGAAGACTATGTAATGTGCCCATATTGATATAACTAATGAATAAATAGCTGAAAACCTAGCTCCAGCCATCTGAGAAGCCTTTCTGCTCTACAGTACTCTTAAAGTAGGAGAGGTTTCATCTCAGAAAGGATTCTGAGTATTTAAACATATAGTTCCAGATACTTTAAAGAATGATTTGATATAATAATACTGAAAGGTAAATGATAGATTAATGTACCACTCTAGACATATTTGAAGCTGTGCGGTTTCACTGATATCAAGAGGGCTTATGTGATATTAAAGCGTATTTTGTTTTTGATTGGAAATATGCAAGAACTATTCCCATCCATGGAAACCCTTATCCAGAAGACAGTGACTATATGCCTAGGATGTCACGAGTAAAATCCCTTGCTCAGACATTATGCCAAGAACATTCCAAAATCATTCCAAGAGGCATTCAAAACATTATATTGACCAAAGTACCCAGGTTTGTAAACATGAAAACCATACCTACTCTTCAAAAATTAAAATCCAGAAAGCATACTGCAACATTTAGAGCCATCCACAATCCTTTCTGCAATACGACTTAGCAAAACTCTATTACCTCCCACCTCTCTATCACTATAGGAAATAGGTTTTGTTTACTACTGGTCAGATCTGCTAACAACAGTCATTCCATTGGGCAAAATTCCAGAAATTTTGGAAGAGAGAGTCTATAAATTAATTCCCTTTGTCATCAAAGACAAGGCAGACAGATTAAAGAAACAAGTCCTATCAAAGTACAATTCTGATTTTTTTTTTGACTTCCAATTAAATTTAAGATAGTCTGATGAAAGCATTGTAGGATTTTTATACAGCAGCTTGGTTAAAAGGAAAGTCTCTGGGCTGATTCCATTTTAACTAAGTAATCTTTGGCACGAGTGAAGCTCATGAACAAAAGTTCAAAAGCATCAATAGAAGGAATTCACAGATGTTCAGCATCTAGGCTTTCTGTCACATCATCTCAATGAATGCCCAAATCAACCATGTGAGATAGGTTGTTCTCATAGGTTTTGATTAACATTCAGAGAGGTTAAACAATTTTCCATAGGGCCACACAATTTAATGATAGAACCAGGATTGGAACACAGACCTTGATGACCTCAAAGCCTTCACATGTGCTAAACCTAGCTATGAATTTTTTTAGCTGGTGAATTCTTAAGGTTCATCCTACATGATCTTCAGGTTGGATTAAACTTTCAAGTCCCACACTGTTCAGAGTTGCCACTTAGTATGCACCTGATTTCAAGTAACAACGCAACCTTAAAAGTGACTTAAATACTTGTGACCCCATATGTGGGTAGTTTGGACACCAGCTGAGAGTTTGTTAGAAATGAAGACTCTCAGGCACCATCCTGGCCCTCCAAATCAGAAAGATTTGATAGTAACAAATCTCAAGTGATTTGTATGCAGAGTAATTTAGAAGATCAGGCTTAAAGGACAAGAACCCTTATTTACTCACAAGAGAGCTAAAATTGGGTGCTTCTAGGGGAGCTTAACAGATCAGTGAGGAAATGAAATCCCAGTCTGTCCCCACCTTGCGACTTCTCTAGCTTCCTTTTGCTACTTGGTTAGAGTCTAGATAACAACAGCCCCAGGCAGTACGTCCTCTCACAGCAGTTTCCCAGGCTAGATTGGCAAAGAGTGACTGTAGCTTTTATCAGGAAAGAGAACTTTCTCCAGAAGTCTCATGCAGAATTCCTTTCAAATCCTGTTGTCCGGGCTTTGGCTACAAGCCCCTACTATACATAGGTGTAGAGGTGTGGCAGGCTAGGAAGTTGCATATCTGAAACGGTCATCCCCTTAGTGGGGTGCAAGTAAGAATTTAAGAACAAGGATAATGGCTGTAAGGCAGGTGCTCAGTGTAGGTAGGACACAGAAGAGATAGGTAGCTCTTACCAAAGGTGGCAAGAGCCTAAGTGCTGGTATTTTCACTACAGACAAAGACATTGAACAATGAGGGTCTGGCACTTACACAGACCCTTCGTTTGTAGATGTCTCACTTTTCCTCCCAGAAATCCCCCCCTCAATCTGCCCCACCCTCTCTTCTGAAGAGTTGGTATGCTTTTCCCTAGCTGACATTTTCTCTTTTCACCTTTGCTCTTCATTATCAACACGGTTTCTAGTGCAGGCAGGCAGTTTTGAAATTTGATTGCTGTGCTAGCAGTCCCATTTTGCAGGCTTTATTTGCTCTGACACGATTTATGATGCCTTGATTATCTCCGTATGGTCTGAATTGTTAGTCACACCATTAATTCTCCTGATTGATGGATTACATAAGGCATATTCCAATGGGAAAAGCAAAGGAAACACAGGTAACACAGCCTCCCCATTCACAAGCACTTTTAATGGGAGTAATTGTCATTACACTCCAACTCTCTATCCCTTTAGGACACCATGTGTGACTTTTAATGATCTGTATGATGTAATTGGATTCTAAACCTCCGGGGAGAACAAGTTGTAAATTCTCTTGCCCAGAATAAATGGAAATTTTCAACTTCAAGGTTGACTTCAAATCATGTAATAAGGAAGATATTTTGTGCCTACTATGTGGTAGGTACTGTGCAATTTGATACAGCATGAAGAACCCCCCCTTATTGAACACTTAATTTAATTAACATGTCAAATGTACAAATAGATACTTTCATTCAAATGTTATAGCTAAAAGAGTCATCATTTACTAAAAAAGCATCAGCATATTCAATCATGATTTGATTTTCACTGAGTCATTTATAATGCTCCCTAATGGTGTATGCTCTTCCCTTGGACCAGCTCCCTTTGAATAACCATCCCATAATGAATTTACTTGTTTTTCCCAAGTCAAAAGGACTCTGCAGTCCACTGTCATACTGGCTAGCAGTGGGTCTGCATGAAGCTCCCTATCCCACATCAATTTAGAGAGA